CTTTAGATAGAATGAAACCTTGAAATGATCGTTTTATAGGGCAGAAAAACAGTTGTTGCGAGGATCTTAAGAATGTAATAGCAGACCTTCAGTTGGCATTTGATTCACAAGAAGTCAATTTCAGGTGATTATACGTGTTTACAGTTGATACCACCTGGTTTCCTTACAACCTTCGTTTTGTTCTCGAATGACATGATGGCATGTGTCACGCCTGCCTAGTACCCTCTTGGACAGACTCTTAATACGCATTTAAATTCATAATAAATCTAGGAAATCAATTAGAAACATTTCACAACACTGCTGCGCAACGACGTTTGCTGTAATTATGTATTCAGATTTGCCAGTGAAAAATGCCCAAACAATTACCCTTAAATGACCATAACTTCCGCGATATCAAAATAGGAAATCTACGAAACACGTAGTCGTGCGAACGGCCGCTTCTGATTGGCCAGATCTTGCCAAAACTGGTCAAAGCAATTGAGCTTAAGCTAGATCTTGCTTCTCTTTATTTTTTACAGGAATTGCCTATGGCCGATTACTTTTGCGGCTGAGAGCCAAGCAGTTGTGCAGAGATGAACAGTTCAAAGCCTCGCTGGGTTGGTACCAGAAGTGGAAAAAGCGCCACTCTATCAGCCTTTGCACAAAGACAACACTTGCACAGCGACTTCCACAAGATCTGGAGGAGAAGACTACCCAATTCCAACGGTTAGTGATTTCCGCTCACATGGATAAAACTGCGCAATTCGAGTCTTTACCGAGCAGAACCGTTTACCCCTAAAAAAAATTGCCTTTGGATAAGTGTCTCAACAAACCGTGTAAGGACAACATCCAGAGGCAGAACCTCTCCTGGATGATGACTGACTTCCCTTTGAGTTTACCCCAGCGGGAAAATAGAAGGTACAGTTGCGAAACCTGGTCCTTCGTTAGATAAAGTGGGCTTGGGCTGAACTTCAGGAAAAAATGATGAAGAAATCATTAAAACATGCAGGACTTCGAACGCGCCCGACTACTCAGAAGATGATAACATCTGTACCGATGACATGCCTAAACTAGCCGACGATGAGATGGCCTGGGACGACAAGTTTGAGACCGATAACAAAAAAAAGAGGTATAAACACTTCATCCTTGAAGTTATCACTAAACAAAACGGCTGCTTTAGGAGTCACCACTTAAATAAAAGTTATTGATCAACAATGCTTTAGCGCAAGACTAGCAATTTGTGTTCGTCGATGATCACTCGGCTGATAGCCGAATAAACATTCGATTTATGGTATTTGTGGGTAATTCAGCTTATCGTATAATGTATGGTAGTCTCCTACATTTATTCCGAGACTACGGCATAACACAGTTTACTTACTTTAAACTCAGGAAAGATACAAGGTATTTTTATTTCAAACTTAGCCACTAAGTCTTAATCAAGAGACTACAACCTCTTTGTCATGATGCAGTAATTCTGGCGAAACTCCAGTCAACCCTTAATGAACACTTACAGTTTTTCCTTGTATTTTTATACTGCGGGCTTTCAGCAGGTGATTACGCTAAACTCATGCTACTGAATATTTACATTAAGTTTTCCTTCTACCATTCTGTTTTAAACTTTATCAAACGTTTACACATGCACAGACGTCTGACCACTGTGTTTTGACAATTACAGGTTTCTACTACGTATCATCTTCAAGATCCCCTTTGGACTCTTGTGAACAGCAGAGCTATTGTTTGAGTAACCATCGTACAACGTCATGTAGTATATGCATGCGATCCATAGTG